TATAGTATATATATTATACACTTAGTTTGTATTCTTTTGAACAAAAGTGAACTTTATATCAGACCCGCTATTAACACGATACACCCACCTCGGAACGAGTTGGCGGTGCCAGTGAATCCACCTCCACATTTTTGAATTCCTTCTTATGAGAGTTCTCTTCCCTCATGATTCGCCCGAATTTGTAGCGATTTGAAACCGAAGACTTACTGAAATATATGCCTATTGGACTTGCACCTTCTGTTCGTAGCAATATACAACGCCCATATGCATGGTTGATGTTACAGACCGGTTAAATAGGCCTCATCAGCAGATTTTGAGTATTAAACAACTCGGCTTATGGTTCGTTACTGGATTCATCTAGGTTCGAGCATGTCCGAACTATCACAGCCTTTGGCAGTGAATGGCAGTGTATGGTGCTGACTGTATCTTTAACTACCGATCACTATATATGCACACATATTTACATATAAATTTATAGATATATATATACATCATATTTGTGTACTATATTGTAAATAAATACTTTGTATATCAATACTTTTTGTATAAATAAATAAAAGCAAGTTCTTAAGAGTCCATTAAATAAATACAATACTGTATTTTACATATTTACATTCATACATGATGCATATTTAAATAAATACGCCATACAGTATATTGTTTTTTATATCAATATGTATGACACAAATCTATTCGTAATAATTGGCGGGCATTTCTATAATCGATAACCATGATGATGCATAAAATACCAAAAATAACATGGCCCTCTGGATTTGAGTCTGCGCTAAATTTACGATTTCCGCTACGACAGGCCCGGTGACTCTTATTTGATTCTAAAAATAGACGTCTATTTGTGCCTCACTTTTGCTTCTTATCTCGAAAATGAAATAGACTATTAAGTAGTGATTTTGCACAGTAATCTAAGTATCTAATTATCTATACACGATTATCTCCATTAATACTGTCGAACTCTTCTTGCAGCGCTGCTGCACCTCCTTCTGCCGCCAGGTACCGTATGTCATTGTTCTGCCGTATGTCCGTTAACAACAGATCACGTCTGTTGCCCACTGTGTCGCGTTTGTTGTAATCCACCGCTCTAGCATCTAGCAAATAATTGATGTGTGACCCAGATGCGTCTAGAACGAAAGCCCACGTAGCTCCTAGTTTACGGGCGATTACTAACTTATTTCTCAGCATAGCAACATTGATTCCGGTGTGCTTGTGCAGTTAAAGCATTCTCTTAGTTCCTTTTTCAAGGCGTCACCTCTCGTATCATTCACATCGAGCCAGTTTCTGTTAGTTTTTGTTTGTTCTCCGAATGCAGACACTTGCATCTCATCTGCTCGTTTTCGCCGTGCGCAGTTAATTTTGGCTTTCTTCATAGACCTTTTAGAAAGATACAACCTGTTCATGCACTTTACCATGTTATTGGCACCAATGTTGATAAGCGTAGATAGTATAGGTAGAAACACGTCTTGTTCTCGGCTACGTCCGCATTGACATTCGATCAATAGTTATGAGCACTCGGGTTGTAAACGGCTGCGTTTATCTACCTGATTTCGTAGTGCTGTGATGCTTACTCTTGCACTTCTAATGTCTTGAAACTACAAATTGTTAATCTCCTTGTCAGACGTTAAAGTATCTATGACCTCTGCACATATAAATGCATGGCATGCACAGCTGAACTAGGATACATTAGATTATCGTGCTTTATGTATTCTATGAGCTCCATTGGATAATCCATGGCTTATACGCCTCCTAGTTCGCCTATTTCAATATGCTTGTCCGCTCGTACACTTGCAAAACATTCCTCGCACCATTATTGCAATCTAGTTGCTTTCTTCAAAACAAACATCACATTTTTTCGAACAATATAACGCAATGTATGTTTGTATTGGCATTTTGTACATTTGTAGCATGTTGATTGAGTTGTAGTGGTAAAAGGTAAGAATGTCATCGATACTTTGCGTGAGGCTATTAACTGTATCGTCTACATAATCGTCCAGCTCAACATCAAAAATATCGCGCACCTGTTTCCAATTACACGCACCTCCTGATTCGTCTGATGAAGTAATGTACGCTTTGTTGACTGTCCGTTTTCGCTCATGTTCACACATTTCAGTCACGTCCAAGTTAGGTTCGCCGCCGTTTGCCTGTCGGGCGACTCCGAAATGCAATTCTATACGGTCGTTGCATGCATTACCTATGATGACATAATCAAAGCCCAACAGGTTTAACTGGTAGTTGATCTGACTACCAATGGCTTTGCAGATATGAATTGCAGCTAAAACCGTTTCTGGAGTAAGACCACCGCAGAAATTAGTTGTACGTTCTGATCCTTGTCCGTTGGCACCCTCGCTTTCCTCTGCTCGTTGATGGGCATACACTTGCCAAGATTCTAATCATCTTGGAAGTACAGTTCCGAGAATCTGAATACGCCGAGTGTTATCTTCATTCTGAAATTAAGTAGCAGAAAACAATAATCAGTAGCAGATATACAAGAGTATGTCAGATATATTTTCAATCGAAATCACAGTATTAATAAAATTAATATTCAATTCAAAGATGCATATAAATTTTTGTATGTACTTCAGATATCCGATTCTTTTGTTGCTTTCCCTTTCCAGAGGGCTTGATGTTCAACAGCTTCCAAAATAGTTCTCGGATAATGCACTGGAAGTTTCTGTACCCGAAGTTTCTGTTCATATATATTGAACATTCCGGAGGGCAGCCCTTTATGAATCCTCAGAGTGAACACCAAAAGTACATCTTTCATTTTTCAGAGCAAGAGCAGCTTGCACTGGCTAACTGAACAATACACAACATTAATTACACAAAAGAAAAACTTAGAATGTTTCTTATACATATGTGACGTTATATGTGTACACACAAGATATTTAAATTAGCGACTTTGAAAATTGCGTGTACATCCTACCTGAGAGTGTCGCTGAGGCCTGTTGCTTTTCCAAGCTGTCAGTGAATACCGTTTTTTTACTAAGCTTACAGGTTGAATTGGCACCGAGCTTCTGTTGTTCGTGGTACAATATCTCGAGATGATTAAATTCGGCTACGTCCCCAGGTACCAACACAGACCCATCTTTGTCCAATAAATCCGGATAGATAAGCCGTCCCTCAAATGCATTCTGCCAGCTATTTCTAATATTTTTAAGTATGTGCACGTAGCAGAAATACGTGTATCTCGAGCTTTTGTTCAAACTCCTTAGACTCCACTAGTTTAGCTAAAAACTCGGTTGAGGGTTTCCACTTAGTGGTACCTGCAGGACCGATGCGACAAACGATGATGTGTTTCCAAGGTGTCTTCTTAATAGAATAGGATCCATGATATAAGAACGTGCCGGTTCTGCAGGTACCACTAAGTGGAAACCCTCAACCGAGTTCTTAGCTAAACTAGAGGAGTCTAATGAGTCTGAACAAAATCTCAAGACTCGTACAACACATGCACCCAACAAGAATGCAGTCGAGGTAATGCCGATTGAGACGGCATTGTAAGTTTCGGTCTATCAAGGCGATATTAGCGCCTTAGAGTAAATAAACGCTTAGGTTAAGTCTAAGTATATCAAAATTTAAAAGTAAATAAACGAAATGAGTCTTTTAGTAAAGTTAGGTATGCCTCGTGAGAACACTCTTGATGTCCATAGTTATTACATTAATCAATAACTTGTCACTTATCAAGATTTACCGACTTAGCCTTCATCAGATCGGCACATCTGGTTGGCTGAACGGAAGATAAACTAAGCAACGCTAATAGTCCTTAGAAACCTATGTTCAGTTGAGCCATCTCGCTACCGAAGTATTCAGATATAAATAGATTTGGAAGGTTAATATAGTTCTATTAATAGAACTAGACCAAATCTTATAATTGGTATTTCACTGGGGGGTTTTAATGGCCTTGTCAAAATATCTGATATGTAAAATGGAAAAGGTATTTAATTAAATAAAACCGATAAAAACCATTTAAGGAAAACTTAAGTTTACGTACTTTTAAGAGTACGTTTTACGTACTATTAAGAGTACGTTTTTATTACAAGATTCTAATGTGGAGGCCCGGCTTTTACAGCTTTAGATCGTAAAAACATGGAACTAGCTAAGGCCATGGTTCAAAGACTCAAAGCTCTAAGAGAACTTGAAGCTCGCACTCAGCTACTTAAAGCGCTGCTTGAAGAACAGCCAGCGCTACACAGAATCTGACTGACTTAGAAGAGCTCGAGAGTAGAGTTAAAATAATACATAATTTAACTTATCGAGCATATGAGTATATGTATACTCGTGAAGGGCTTGATCAGCCGACGCTGTCCTGATTGTGAAAAGAACCAGATCAAGTGCTATGGCTAGGCACCCCTAAGAAGTGTGATAGAAGACCAACCGATGCACCGAGTCATAGTCGATTTGGTTAAACTCCCGCGATCCAAGCATACTAGCGATGTATATATCTGTCATTTCTCTTTTCATTTGAAATGGGTTCAGACTCAAATAAACAACTGCATGAATCCTCAAACTGGAACACTCCCGTTTCACAATTTTTTTTTGGCCGCTATAGTGAATTACAAGCAACTTTTGACAAAACTACGCCCGAGAAACACGTTACTCCGTGGCTAAAAAAGATCGGGCATATGCAGAACGTTGTTTACCCCTGTTTACTCGAGCAAAAAAATCGTGTCCTACTTAAAGCGTATGACCGATGGAATAACACTTAGAGCATTGTTCAGTTCAAAGTTGGTGATTATGTTAACATTATAAATCGCAATCGAACTTTGTGTCTTCTAAGACAATAGGACCTCTTGTTATTCCCTACTATGATGAGAAGAGTGATACTTACGAAGTGAATAACATAGATTGTACTAGTGCAACTAATTTAGGCACTCACCGTATCCCTACCTCCGAACTCTCATTTGCTCGCTCATTTGATTCTGATGTCCCAGTTATGGAGTCACAGGTCAAAGATATAATTGACTATACATCTGAAGACGATTACACTTACTACAAGACACGTTTTATGGATGTGACAGTAGCTTGGCTAACCTCCGATGCGTTTCGTGAATCTCGCGACTTCCTTCTTATTTTTAATAGGAAATAGAATAAGCATTTACATATGAACACCCGAGATAAACTGAAAGGGTTTCCTCAGGTGACTACAAACCCAACTGGATATGAAATTCCCTATTTACCATCTACTTTCAATGTGACTAAACTTTCTGATCTGCTTACCAACAATGCAGATTTTGTTTTTGAACTTACTTACGAATGAAGAACAACCTTTGGCTATTACCTTACCAAGTAATAAACGTAAGGCGCCTACATCGAGAATGGTTACTGAACCAAATACTAAACGACATAGAGTACAACATGAGTCTTGAACTCATACATATAGGCACATGCTTACTCGATAAGCCATGACCGAAACCATTTTACTTTGGTTTTCACTTTACTAACTAGATCGTACCTTCACGATCAAATGAGATAACACATTGGTTTTTATTTGTATTTAAAATAATTTAATACTGAGTGTTATTTGGTATGACTCATTTACTTGGACCTATTTGAGACGATACTAGATGTAGGATATTATAAACTAATTTTATAATCTCTGAACAACTACTTACAGGTTTTGTTCTTCCCGCTAATCTCCCAAATCCAATATGTCTTTTTATTTATTTATAACTTTTCTTCAGATGGAACTTTATTTTTTATAATCTCTGAACTACTACTTACAGGTTTTGGTCTTCCCGCCAATCTCCAAAATCCAATAAGTCTTTTTCTTTTTATTAAACTTTTCTTCAGATGGAACTTTAATTACATTAGCTAGTGAATTAACCTGTCTTACGTTCTTATGTCTATCTACAAATTAGACATGTGGTCATGAACACTTAGTACTTCTAGTGAAAATTATTCAATAAAAAACAGCTAGAGGTACGTCCTGTGTGATCGAGGATATTAAGGCTCTTACCAAGAGGCAGTCCCGGTCATTCATACACAAGCTGCCACTGCTAAATCCTAACTGACTTAAATTCTATTTTAGTGTATATAACGTAGTTTGAAACATAGAAATATCCATCGAAGTTTACACGGTTAGGTGCTGCGCCGTCCGTTATCAAGGCAAAAGAAGCTTGTCCCACTGTGACTGCCTTCTTTAAACCCGTCATAAACTTTTGTGCAAGATAATCACTTTTAGGTGCACAAACTGGTATTGCTAACAGCGTGTTGTGTTGGGAGTTGGTCACTCTAGACATCGTACCACAACTTATGTGTGATGCCGGAGAGGTAGGATTATTATGAGCAAGCCCTAGAACCTGACCATTTTTATACTGCAACAACCACTCAGACCCTATCTCGTCAGCATGAATGTAAAGATATCTATTTAATCGTACTGTTTTCTCTAAACCCACTGATTTGACTAATCCTGGACTTATGTGATTGTTTTGTATGTTGGTCTCTAATATGCGTTCTAGTACCTTGTATGAGTACTATTTAGGTCCAAAGACGTAATCGAGTCTACCGGTAAGTTCATCTCTACAAATAGCTTAGGAGAAGGAAGAGAAAGGTGTGTGTTTGTCTTTCGTGCCATCTCATAGCCACCTGGTGATGATAGGTACTAATTATGGGCAAACATCATGGTTCAACCTTCGTAACGACGGGCACCAGACATTAACAACCGTATGTGACTAGTAATAAAATTGATCTTGGTCACTGCAGACTTCCTCACATCCGTCTGAATCTCTTCTAGATTATTTCGATCCCCATCGTGACCACTTCCTTGATGGTCAAGCATACCATCTTCCTCGATGTCTTCTGGCGAACTCGTCTGGGTTTGTCTACTTAAGTTCTCACCGAAGCGATCTAGTTGCCCAGCAATTAGCATATGATCTAGCTCCTGAACTGCAAGCTTCCGGTCATCTATTACTTGCATAATTCGACAACTTTCACAATGATTTGAGAGTATATTCTCTAGTACACTAAACGATCAAATAAAGTTAGGCAGAGCCTTATCCTTTTTGTATTCAATTGTTCTGTTACCAGTAGCTATTGATATATTGTGCATGGCTTGTATACAGATAGACTACAATCACAACTCACATCAACATAGCATGTTTAAGACACAGCAAATGTATGCGTATTCTCATCTATTGTCTGATACATACGTACACCGCTATTCCAATTCATTGATGTTCAACCAGTCTTTTTTCTCGCCTATCCCAACAGTCAATTCACATTCTGAATTCTATCAGCCTCCCGCAACCGTTCTCGTTCCATCCTATCTGCTCGCTCCTGCAACATCGGATCAACATAACGTATTCTTTCTCTCTTTTCGTTACGTTTAATTCGATCGTGATTAGTTTTACTAATAGTATTGTACGTAGGCACATTTATTATCTGTGTAAAGATTGAGGGCTTGGCACTCTTTTTCAGTGTTTTGCAAGGATTGTACCGACTATTATCTATAGCATTCTTTGCTGCACGTTCCTTCGCTTCAATCTTCGGTCGCATTGGTAACCAGTCCTCGTCTGTGAAATGTTTATAACATATAACCCGACTATTTTCCCAGTAACGTCATATATAACTACAAAGTAGTCTTTCGAGATCCGATTCCAATCATAGGGTAATTGCTTCTTCCAATCTTCGTGATCACGATGACTTATAGGTGGAAACTGCTTTACCTTGGTAGTATCACCATATTTACCGCTTTCCCCATATCAACCATCTATCATGCACGTTGGCATTTTGTAATCACTCAAAGCTAGGTTTGCATTGAATTCGTGGCGCACGCAATATAGTTTGCAGGCATACAAGTCCTTCGTCAACTATTTTAAGCATACAAGTTCTTCGTCAACTATTTTGACACCAGTAGATGCATGAAATGTGAAAATTCGTATGAATACACCCCTTACACAGACCCGACCTGCATCTCTTTTTCGCAACGCAGCATCCCAATCTCGTAATCTCATACGCATTTGCCTCTCCTTTTTAGCCGTCAACGTTGTTCCTTTACCGCAAGCAGAGTAAGAAGGCACGTGCCACTTTTCTTCTTTGGGTATTACTTCTATATTGCACCTATCGCAGCCTACGTCTTCTGTGAACCACTGCACCGCGATCCAGTTGTGCCCCTTTAGGTGGCTGTTGCAATGTGACATGTTGGCAAACAGACAACTTACATATATTCGGGTGTATATGTTTTACAATCGGTTCAGACAATTTGAACGATCCTTTAGATCAAACTTTATATGTAAATACTTCTACTGCTTGAGAAGCGGGTCTTTCTTGCTCGCCCAGAGCAGTACACGTCACTAAAAAAAAAATTATAAAACAACGGACTGGCATCTGCACTAATACCTCACATATCCAACAGACACTACAAACGCACAAGAAACTATAAGTGTATACATGTTTGTGTCATGTTTGTGCATTT